CCCTTCTGTTCCCTTCTCTTCCCTTCCCTTCTCTTTCTTTCCCTTCTCATTCTTTTCCTCTTCTAAGATTTGTGCTTTCCATTTGTCCACTATATTTATTTAGTTATCTCCTGCTGTAGCAGTTCATTATCTACTCAGTCCCTTTCCAATTAGCTTCCACTCCTTGCTGCCACGTTTTCCTTAGGGAGACACATGCCCTGTATAGGAAAGCTCCAGAGCTCAGAATCAAGCAACCTGAGCTATTGACCTTTGGTCTTTAATGTTTTGGGGGAAATAATATTTACAAACACACTGAATGTGTGAACCAGGAAGTAATCTTGCCTAAATACTTCTTACTTTTAAAGTGATTCTTGTACTTAGGTGAAAGTTGTAATGGATGTAACGAGTATTCTTGTTTAAAATTGCTCATAAGAAAACCTAAATTCTGACCTCTACAGCCATCATGTTAATTGTATCTTACAGCAGAACTCACTTCACTCTTGGCTGGACTGTGAACTAGAGCAAATCTATAGAGTGAATCAGAAAGGTTTCATGTAGGAGGTCAGATAAAGAGCTGAGGGTGACAGTGGTGTGGAAGGAAACTCCTGTCATTCCTTAAAATTGTATTTCTACTTGTATCTGTGGTAAAACAAAGACAGGAGAAGGAGGATGAATGAGGAAATACTTGGTTTGCAGGATAGGACAATCAAGGCTAGTTGAGTCAGTACTGAACTTATTTAAGATTTATTCATCATCTACTTTACATTAATCCATCAGGAAATGTAAATCTGAAGGGAAATATGGACTTCAAGAAAAAGCAAGTACATAAACTATAGCAGACTATAAGATATGATTCTATGATGTACAATTCACTTTATAAAAGCTTGCTTTTCCTAACAGAAAGGATGCTACTCAAAAAGTGGTACTTACACTGGGAACTTGGTGCCAAAGAAAGGTTTCAGAAGGATTTGATGAACAGCCTTCTAGCCTCTGTCACCAACACCAGCTCCAAGCACATACGAAAATGGAATTGCTGAGTAAGCTGCTTCCTCTGCCAGTCAGGTAAATGGGAAAGGAGAGATATCATGGAATCTTTTAACCTCAGAACTGTTAGTGCTTGCAGGCCCAAACTCAGGCCAAACCACACAACACCATATCACATCTTGTTTAACTTAGTTATCTACACTCTTAAAAACTCCTTGTTGGATTACAGTCAAAGAGAATTATTTTTTCAATAGATACATACATAGTGTGTATGTCCTTAGAGAACAGATGTCATGCACAAATACATACAAGTGCCAAGATTGGTGTGTACATGGGGAAAGCATATTAACACCATCAATCTTGAACTGGGACATTGAAAGAGAGAGAACATAGGACAGCAGAGAAGGCAGTCTTTTCTTTCCAATGAGCCATAGGAGACTAGTCAGATTGGGTGGCCTGGCAATATATCAATTTCTTTAGAGCTTCTTTGACCTCTCGGTTCCTTAGGCAATAGATGAAAGGATTGAGGGCTGGTGTTACAATGGCATAGAAGATAGAAATAACTTTGTTCATGTTGAAGGCATGGATAGCTCGGGGTCTGGCATACATAAAAATAGTAGCTGAGTAGAAGATGGTAACCACCACGAGGTGGGAAGCACAGGTGGAAAAGGCTTTCTGCTTTCCTGTTGGCATGCGTAACACAGTGGCCAGAATGCATCCATATGATAAAACAGTGATTGACAGTGGGAAGAGAAAGATGACCAGAGCCAAGACAAAGTCCACTAACTCGGCAATGGACATGTCTGTGCAGGAGAGATTAAGAACTGGAGAGATGTCACAGAAGAAGTGGTTGATGACATTGGGGCCACAGAAACTGAGTCGAGAGATGAAGTAGATCTTTGCCAAAGAGATGCCGAAGCCGATGACCCAGGAACCAAGAGCCAGGCGGAAACAAAGTCCATGGCTCATAATAGTGGGGTAATGTAATGGGCGGCAGATAGCCACATAACGGTCATAGGCCATCGCAGCTAGGAGAACGCATTCCGTACACATAAGTGCAATGAAGAAGTAAAGCTGTATCATACAGTGGGTGAAGGAGATGCTGTTACTCATGGACCAGAAGCTGAACAGAAGCTTGGGCACAGTCACAGAGATGTACCAGGTCTCCAAGAAAGACAGGTTGGCGAGGAAGAAGTACATAGGCTTGTGTAGTGGCCGGTTCTGCTGCACCAGTAGGATGATGATCACGTTTTCAGCTACAGTCAGAATATAGGCCACAAGAAACATCAAGAACACAGCTGCTCTCATACTCAAGCTTCCAGGAAACCCCACCAGAATGAACTTGGTGACCCGCGTCTGGTTCTCCACATCCATATCAAGCACACAGGACCTAGCTTTTCTGAGAGAAAAGAATCACTTGTTCAGAGTTCATAATCTGGCAAACATTTTTAATCCCTACCTTCGTTGAGTACCTATAGCAGTAATAGTTGCTTATTAATAGGTTAGACTTCAGGGCTTCTCCACCCGTGGGTCAAGATTCCTTTGGGGATCAAATATTAGATATCCCACATATCAGGTATTTACATTGTGATTTATAAAAGTAGCAAATTTGTAGTTGTGAATAGCAATGAAATAACGTTGTAGTTGGAACTGTTTAGAAGATGGACTGTATTAGAGGGTGGCAGCATTAGGAAGGTTGAGAATCAGTGGGTTAGATAGATCCGTGTGCCATAATAACGTGCTCTAACTCAATTTTTCGCAAAGCATCTTTACTTATATACTATTATTTCTGTATTAATGATGTGGTATCAGAGAGATATCAAGTATATTTCTACATTCACACCGACAGGAATGTAAGGATTGTATTCAAGTCTAAGCCAAAAGTCATGTGCTATCTAATGTCCTAGATACCTCCTAAGTAAACTAGCAAAACCCACTTTGTGTTACTTTTGAGCTTCAAAAAATACACTGGTCTTCATCTGCTGCCATCTGCTTACAGTTGTGGAAGTTCTTCCTTGTAACTGGGTGACTGTTACATGTCATTTGTTTCTCTTTTTTTTTACCATCAGTGGAGATGGAAAGGGCTTGTCACCATCTGAGGGTAGCATGATCAGGAGGCATGAGGATGGTCAAACTCATCCCTATCAGATCTCAGGACTTCATTTCAGTGCCAAGTTTTCCATGTAGTTGCTCTGCCCTTGAAACCATGCACTCTCTGAAAGCCATTTTCCTCTCTGGATATATAAATATTAATGTGTTCAGTGGATGTCACTGTGAATTAAAATAAAATTAAAATCAAGCAAAAGGTGTTTTACGTAAGTGGCAGATGACAATGAGTGTGAGAGTGGCTCCTGCTGCATATTAAGGCAGTAAAGATAAATCTAGGTTGGTGTGGGGTGGTGTGACTGCTGTAATCCAAGTAAGTGTAAAGAAGCGGAAAGGTGGGGGGAGGGTCAGAGGGCTTTCAGCTTCAGAGGACAAAGATAGGGTCTCTGGGAGCTGTAACTGTTTAAGCTAAAATGGAAATGCATTATATTTTTTAAAATAAAGGTTAAAATCCTGAAACTAACAACATATGATATGGAATGGGATGCCCTTTGACCTCTGAGGAGGTGACATTTAAGCAGAAGATTTTAATTAGACCATCTCTTTGAAGATCTTAGGTAAAAGAGACCCAAGCTAAAGCAAGACCCCAATTGCTACACTGTGGTGGATAGAAAAGGAGTTAGAAAGTGGTAGGAAAGAAAGTTTAACTGAGTAGATGAGACCCAATGCTAAAATAAAAATAGAAAACTAAATACAATGAAAGATAAGCAGAAGATTAAAGAAAAACATATGATTATGTCATGGAAAAATAATTGTCATTTCAAAGTAAACTATCTTAGTGGGACAATGGGCTTTAAGAGAAGATTCTAGTGACCCTGAAGACTGGTTTGATAGACCTAAGTTTAAGGTCCATTTTAGATGTAGAATCCTTAACAGAAATTAACAGATTTGGATGTAGAAGATTAGGGGGGGAGATCAAGGAGAAATAATAGACAAATATCACATAGGTGTGTTGCCATTTATTAACAGAGGGAAATTTGGAAGTTTTCATAGGCATTTTACAAATAATCAAAGAGATAGAAATGGATGAGCATTTGCTATATTTAATGACCATCAATGTCCCACTGTATCCTACATGAAGAAATCAGAATGCATTCACTGGGTATCAGGAAGTTTGCTTACTACTGTTCATAAAATGCAGCAGTTAATCCATCAAATAATGTTAATGAGACACAGTCCAATTTCCCAGAAGAGGCACTGTAGTTCAGACATATAAAGTACCAGTTTCTAATTAAAGAAGGATGCAGTCAGAATTATACCAAAGTTCAGGTTTGTCTGAGCCACTAGACTCACTGACCCACAAAGAAAGTCATATTTCAGTCTCATCACTACTTTTAAACATTAAACATTTAACATTTATAATTCCTCTAGGAAATGAAATTTCTAGTCCCATTGAAATTTTATTATAAGCACAGGCCATTGGAGATGGAATGAACATACAACACAAGAATATATTTTACTTCAAACATACAAAACAGACAGAAACATACAAAGATGTTTGTCACATGTGCCAGAGATAAGATAAGCACATAATACATCCCAAGATCTATCAGGGAGAAAGGGGGATACTGCAGGCAAATGACTTAGAAGGAAAAAACAGGCATAGAGGTCAAAACAGCACAGCATAACCACTCAAAGGCTGTGTGTTTGACAAACTGGGAGAGAATGAATTGAAAAGGCAGGTGGGAAAAGGAAACTCATTAGGGTCCAGATTATGGGGAATTCCACACACAGCAGTAGGGAGCTTAAGAGCCATCCTTAAGCATAAAAAACATAATGAGTGAATGTTTGTCAAGAGGATTATAATAGCCTTACATTTCACCCTACTTGTTGATATGAGAAGATATATTGGGTAGAATAAAGTTATCAAATGAGAACTTGATGGTCAAGGCCTACACTTAGACATGTAGGCACATAAGGCAGAACAAAATTGCTAGCTAGTGATTGATTGCTAAAGAAACTGAGATGAACATATTCATCTCTATCTAGTGCCATAAGCAATACCAAGATCTACCTACTTACATAAGAAAGGCTACGAAGTATGTAGCATAAGGATGTTGGGGTCACGTAGAAATCTAAGGGTGGTTGTCATAATTGGGGTATTTAGTTAGGACCCAACATCAGGAAATATCTCTCAAAAGCAGTAGGAGAAGCCTATTCCCTTTGTTTATTGTAAAAATTCTTTGCACATAGGTTTCAGAAAATGAGAATATCATTTTGTTCAATTGCTGGAATTACAGTGGATGGAAAGGAAAAACAGGAAAGATTTACAGTTTAAATACCAGTGTACCTAAGATTTGCCTAGGTATTATGGATGTTGCAAGAGGGCCCACTTACCTTGGTTTAGCAGCCTCTGATAAGGTAGAATGTGAAAAACAATTCCTCACTGATTCTAAAATAGAAAGAAGTACAAAGAAAAGATTCAAGTATTGAGCAAATATGAGTAACCCACTTCCTAAACTTACAAGAAACCAAGGAGCACAGATTACCCCACTGCTTTGCAGCAGATGGCGAGGGCTATATAAGTGGATGTTCCTGGACATTGAGACCACATTTGTGTCCAGTGTGACACCTGGCTGGATCTTCCAGCACTCTGGGGCCAGAGCTCCCATAGCCTTCTAGTGAGTACTTTTGTGGACTAGAACACATCAAGCTGTGGATGTCTTTGTTCATCTGAGGATTTTATACAGCATCAAAATCTTGGCATCTCTCCCAGTACTCAAGAGAAAAGAACATTGACAATGGTTGTCCAAATCTCTTGTGGTATCCAAGGAAATTTGTGCCCATTGTGGCCATCTCATTTGTTGTATGTGATATTGGCTCCATGGGGGGAAAATCATTTATGGTCACATACTTTAGGAAGAACCATGCTTTATTCATTCACTGTTGAAAGAGTAAAAGGAAAGAGAGCATTGCATTTAAATATCTCCTTTCAGATACTGAGCATTATCTTAGCTTTTGGGAAGCAAAATGACCATATCTGTTCTCCTAGGGAGAAGATGACTGCTGAGAGCTAGACTGGTTTTCTGACAATTTAGTCATGGGTTTAAATGGAAGTCTTTGTCATCTGGTACATCATAAGGTAATGTCATAAAGTATGCTAAATGAATTTATCATGACGAGTGACTTTCACTGTCATCAGCAGGGTATCAATTGACTAATATTTTACATCCTGAGACAAAATTACAGTTCAGCACATATCACGTCTCTGTATGTGCAGAACTCCTAAGCAGCTCTCCCAACAAAGAAAAACTTGCAGAGTCACTCCAATTTTATAAGACAATAAGTGGAAACATTAAAAGTCAGAAACAGTCCATTCTGGGGTGACACATTTATGGTAATAAAGAGAGCAGCTTTCCATGCAGATTCTTTCATAGGACCGAAATACAGAAAACAGATTATAAAATAGTAAAAAATAAGGTTCATCTTTCAAATCTCTGTCCTCAATTCACTTCTAAATTCCAGAAATAATCTGATGTGACTTAAAGTGTATCATTTAATCACTTTTTTTTTTTTTTTTTTTTTTTAGTGACTGTCAATGGAAAATGACAGAATTTCTACAAAGCCGTGACTGCTTTAGCAGCATGAGCAGAATTCTAGGCAGGGCATGCTTCTCCTCCAGAAACAGGAAACATCCTTCCTATTGTGACAGGAGCCTATGAATTTCCATAACTACAATCTTAGTCAATTTTTTAATATAAATAATCTTAAATTGATCTGAAACATTTGTCAAATGCAACTGGGTATATATGGTAGCACACTGACATGATGTCATCAAGAGTTGAAATAATAAAGCTTTCCTTGGAACTTTTTGTATACCTCCCAGTGGCTCCAGGCTGGTGGTCCCTGACCTATGAGATATGATCTGCAATAAGGAAGTCAATGGAACTCACTACACAGACTCCTTAGGTTTTGAGGTCCATGGCTGTTTTCTTTTTTCAGAACCCTCTCTTGCTGTTGTACTGGGGTTAAGTACTTAACTGTAACTAGGGTCTTTTTCTTCCTTCAACAATGAGTATCACACAGTTCACTTGTCAAACAACTGGTGGACTTGTGGTTCCATTTGGGACATATTTTTCAAGACTTAGACCATTTGCAAATCTGCTTTAGACTTCTCTTGCTATTCAACCAAGCCTGAAGGTTACCTGGAAATGAACTCTTTGGACCCCTTCAGGCCTAATTTGAGCAACCACTCAAACCTACACATATGTATGACTTTCCCAGGTACACATCAAGGTTTATATTTTATTTTAAATACTCCATGAATTTGCATATATTCCTTGCAAAGGGGCCATGCTAATCTTCTCTGTGGTATTCTGATTTTAGGGTATGTACTTCCAAAGCAAGCATCACACTATGATTTTACAATTTCCAAATCCCCAGTGTATCTTCTTCCTCAACCACCTCTTTCTTACTATTTTTTAATCTGTCTGTTGCTTAACTCCACTCTTATTCATAGACATAGGCTTCTACAATTTTTTTCTTTTAAATGCTTGCAATTAGCCTGGCTAGGTGGTATACATCAGCTACTCATCACACTGAGGGTAGAGAACAAGTTAAAAGTCAGCCTAGGCAATCTAGTGAGACACCCTCTCAAATCATGAAAACTAAACAGAGGGCTGGGAATATAGCTCAATGATGTGCCTAGTGCATGCAGAGGTCTAGGTTCAATCTCTAATAGACACTACCCTCCAACAAACACTAATGCACTGCATTCAGAAAACGTCATCTGCAAAGCTATCCTAGTCTTTCCCCTGAATGCTGTAAGATTTCTTTCCATTAGACAAGAGTTAATTCAGACAGGTTTTGACATCTATCAGGTAATTTCTGTACTGAGTTAGAATTTCCCATGTCCTTGGTGTAGATGATGTTAGTATGCACATATATACATGTACAACATATATTGTTTTTGAAACTTTCAAACTTCCCAATCCTGCTTTTTAGTTCTAGACACTTCACTGTGTGCTTTCCGTATTGAATATTTTAAAATAATTGCATTTATTTCTGATTTACATGACTTTCCTTCGCTTTTCATGGTCTTAACATGTCGACTATGACTCTTAGTTAAGAATAAGTGGTGAGTATGAACATATAGAACTTGTCTTCAATCTTAGCGAAAAGTCATTTTTGCCTCCTATCCATTAAAGATGTTGCAAACTGTTACATGTAATAAATCAAATTAATTCCTGCCCATCCCTGCTTTCATGTCACCGTTCCTGCTCCCTGAAGGATCACTTCCACTGGACTCTACTTAATTTTTAAAATTCTAATATATCACTCTTTCTTTCTCTTTCTCCCTCTAGCCCATCCCATGTCTCCTTCATCCAACCCTGCTCACACCTCCAATTCCCTTTAAAGCTTAAAGCTTAGTTGTCTGTCATTCGAGGTTTGTTGGTGAATTTAGTGAATGTATGTATGTAGGCAATAAGTAGGCAATCCTGTCTTTTATCTTTGAAGATCTAAAAGTTGAAGAAATGAAATGATTATAGACTAAAAGACAGCTCACACTTCAGTCTTTAAACGTAGGAACTTAGTGTGACGGAGTACCAAGGGAGCATTAAAAGTAGAGCTTTCAAGGAAAAGCTGATGCACAATAGCCTATCCAATAGCAGAAAAGGCAGGGCTGAAGACTGGTTTCACAGATTCATTGACTTTGTTATTCACTCTCATGTAAGTGAGCTGAAGACTGGTTTCACAGATTCATTGACTTTGTTATTTGCTCTCATGTAAGTGACCAACTGTTATTTGCCATCAGTCATAAGCCACTCACAGTCTTTTAAGATTGTTTTAAAAGACTGGCACTTTAGGAGGATGCTACTCATGGTATTGTTTGATTAATCCTTTCTATTGTTTGATTAAACCTTTCTAGAGTGATTATGTTGCTACCAACCTAAAAGATCCTTATACCATGAAAACTAGTATCAAGAGGACACAAAAGTTCACCCTATAATTAGAGTTAACAATCATCCATGAGTTTTTGTTGTGCCCTTTTCAATGGTCAGCTTTGCATCCCTGTGACAAAATATTGTGTTAATTTAAAGGAAGGAAGACTTCATTTTAGTTTGTGGTATCAGTACCTGGAGACTTTGGGCTTGTGGGAGTCCATCATAGTGGGAACAGAATAGGTCTATTCTTGACATGCTAACAATGAAGCAAAAGGACAGGAAAGAGTCAGTATCCCAGTACCCCTACTCTAATTTTGATTCTGTTATGATAAAAAAGATCAAAAGCAAATAGGGAAGAAATGATTTTTGTATGTTACAATGTCCTTTTATTATTTGCTCAAAGGATATGCTACTCCAGTAGATATTTTCTTAGAAGAAGGTTTATTGCCTCTCAATAGGATCAGGTTAAGACCCACGCCTTCAACAGATGAACCTTTAGAAAACATTCGAGTTACAGATGATTGATAATGTCAAGCAGCATCACACAAAAACATAAAATTATGTTAGAGATAATTAGGAATTCATTTACAGTGCACTAAAAGGTTTAACAGTAAGGTCAGAAGACAATAGAAAATGTCTCTCTCCTATATATTTGGTATATATATCAAATACACTTTTGAAATGTCCTGTAGCCATTCATTCATTTATATGAGAATTTCCACAAAGGAAGTCATATACATACAATATTGGTTACAAATCCAACAACTTTATTTGTTTTGTAGAAATTAGTATGTAGTTAGCCTATTGAAGGAAAACCTTGAAGTTAAAAGTATCAGCAAATGATAATACCTATAGAATGAGATAGATATAAAAGACAGACCCTATCAATCTACACCTAAATGGCTGATTCATTTTGTCAGATACTATGGCTTGTTTTCTGAAGTTTTACTTGGAATATTTGACATTAGTCTGATGATGTTGCTTTTGTTATATGAGAAATATAAACCTTGCCTCGAATTATGTTAATTAAGGAGTAAATATTAGGAATTCTTGATATGGTAAAACAAGATTGGAAAGGGCTATTATGAGGTGACACTTCCTATCTACAGTTATCTGCAAAAGGTTGTATAATACTATTTCTTTCCTTGGAGTATATTGCAGAAAGATGATGTAGTATGAAATAACTTGTTTAGTTTAAGTCTTGGCTATCCAGTTTCTGTGAAAGAAAGATATGTGTGTAAATTTTTCCAAGGAGATACATGGAGATGTCTTTACCAATGATAGGCTAAGCAAATAATCCTACACAAGTCTACTTTGGTAAACAGATAAGATTATTGGAATTGTTTATAAATATGTTGGTGTCTCCTGGGTATCTATATCACTGAAAAGTTTACCCACTGTGGGTAATGACTCATAAAAGCTGAATAGTCTCTGTACAACTTGCAGGCAGTTGCACTAAAAATAATCTCCTTTCCCCCTGTAATTTTTACCGCTCCTCTAACCTCAGGACAGAGTCTTTCGAGTTTTGTAAGTTCCTTGTGACTTTGTATAAGATTCTTGAAAGTTTTGTGAGTTGCTTCTCTTTTCCACATCAGGGTATGGTTCAATCTGGAAGAAATTGCTTTCGCTTGAAAGTATATCTGAGGGACAGAACCTTGGCTCCTGGCAAATTTCCATGAACTAAGAGTTGAGTTTTTGAGATTTGTGGTAGTATGTTCTACTAATCCTAGGTTATGATAATGAGGATGGTAATAATTCTGGGATATTGTCCAAATTCTGCCAAAAGTTTGAACTCCTTGTTTAGTGTCAGAGGTCCTTTGTCACTATTATTTAGACAATAATTCCCAAGAACAAGCAACTTTTCTAATGGTATGTTACTGGCTGTGGCAGCTATGCTCTGTGACATAGAAAAGCTTCCACCCAAATGAGAAACCATACAAATGACTAGTAACACATTTGTCATACTTCTACAACCCCAGAGGCTGAAGGAAATTACTTTCCTCCAGGGAATTATTTCTCAGGCATGTCTGACAGCTGAGTTATCCTTCACGAGCCTCTTTAGGAGACAGGTTATGATGACATGGTTCATCCCATTGGGTTATCATATTAGTATTGCACTGGGTCAGTCTGTGTGTTAAAGAACAAATCATACACAATCAGAAAAGATTGATCAGCTATCTGGCCCCATTCTAATATTTTATTAATAAATTATAGATGCAGCATTGTTTAATCAATTTGTCTTAATACTGTTCAATGAGTATTTTTTTTCACTTACTGCTTTTACTCTTTAAAATCAGAACTGGTTAAAGAAGCACCAGTTAACAGAGGTCGGGAGGTAGTTCTACAAATTCAGCTGAAGCATCAGACAGATGATTTAGTTTTCCTTCTTCAGTCTATTAAAACAAACAAATGAAAACCATTCTGGTTGAGAGTGTTGCCTAGTGACACAGAGCTTACTTAGAATGCAGGAATCCCCAAGTTTCATCTTCAGTTCAGGAAAAAAAATATCGAGGAGTGCGTATGCTCAGCAATACCTGAGGCACCTGAATGATACATCAAAGATTTAGAACATGAACATAGATCTCATCTTGTTGGACTAAGATAGCCCTAGGCATAGGCTTTTTTTTCCTTTCTTAGGAACACTATGACACAAATAGCTTTGTAATGGGTGTTTTTAATTTTTAGGTAACTAGTGAACCACATCATTTCCATATGGTCAAGAGAAAACTTATTTCCTGTTTTCTAAAAGATGGGAATGTAATTTGTCTGATAACATAAAATAGACAGAAAAAAATTTTTAATTAGTGTGATTCATGTACTTGCTATATACCATAGGAATTTCCATTGTTTTGATCAAATTTGGAAAGATGAAAGATATATTTGATCTGAAGAGAATTCAGAGCATGGCTTTGAGCATAGGCCTTTGCTACTCCACTAGACCTTCTTACTTTTCTCAGATAGTCTTGCTCATAATTTCATGTCATATTGGCATATGCATATAAAATGTGAGAAGAAAAATACAGCATTTGCTTTCTGAGTCTGGCTTAGTTGCACTACTATGATGACCTCCAGTTCCATTCATTTCACAAAAAAAATAGAATCATTTCATTCATTATGGCTGAACCAACTGCATTGTGTATGTTTGCCATGCTTTCACTGTCCATTTGTTGACAGTAGGCTGATGCTATAGCTTGGCTGTTATAAGTATACACAGATGCACAAGTGACTCTCTAGTATGTTGACTGGCATTACTTTGATGTATTCATTGGAAGATGTTAATATATTTATGTTTAGTTTTTTAAAATAAAACTTCCATGTTGTCAGGTGTAATGGCAAATGCCTTTGATCTTAACCTGCAGGTGGCAGAGGCAGTCAGATCTCTGAATTCAATGCTTGTTTGGTCTATAGAGTTCCAGGGCAGCCAGTGCTACACAGAGAAACTATGTCTCAAAAAACTTAAG